GGGCAGCAAAGGGTGGGCAGGCCATGGGGGGTATAATGAGCGGGAGTTGTGTTGGAGCAGGCAGAATGTAGTTCCTTCCAGGGGTACTGGGGTGGTGGTGTCTCTGATTATTGTGACTTTGAAAGCGGGGTCTGAGGTAGAGGCAAGGGGGCCCCTTCCTCATCTGGATCGACCTCAGGTCTGGTTCCCATATCAAGGTCAGTGGGGGTTGAAGTAATGGCAAGGTCTGCACTGGCCTGATCCTGACAATGCTTATTGTGGGCTGAAATAACTTCAGGGGAGGAGGACTTAAGGCTGGCAATTATGGCTAAAAGGTTTGGGACAAATGAGGCAGGGGGAACGACTCCCGATCCTACTTCCGTTTTTCGGGCCAAGAAGAGGACCCGCATCCAGAGGTCAGGATCCCACATAATTTTGGGAGAGACCCAAGGGGCCAAATTAGTGGCTTCATCCCAGAAATTTTCAATATCTTTTGGTTTAACTTTCAGTCCCTGAGTTCTAAGGAGCAATTTAAGTGCTGCTGTTTGTGGCTCCGTGCACTGTGGTGGTAAGTTGCCCATTGTGGGAAGGTCCCGTGAAGGGAAACTCGCCACAAAAGTAAAAGGCAAGGGTGACTACCAAGAGGGCACAAATGAAGGACCGTGGGCCACTCGGACATAAACCGCCCCAACATGAAGAGGTGTATCGTATCCAAATGTCTTGTGCTTAGTGAGTGACTTCCGAGGGCTGTGATACCCTTGGCTATATGCTCACATGGTGTCTCCAGGACAGGCAACAGGATGACCTGAAGCCTGGCTCTGAGTTCGGGGTGGATCAACCCTTATGTGAACTCACCGGGGCAAGCCAAGGACTTTGGGCTTTGGTACTATGCGGCGGAGTGTGCCTTCTTGATTTAACGACAAATATGACAAACAGGGTAGAGGGGACAGAGGAGGGGGCCACTTGCTCACCCTCAAGCAGCCGAAGGGACAGACAAAACCTGGGGCTTAATCACCAAACAAACTGAAGTTGGGGGCATCGCCAACACCAGGGGACAGAGAACCCCGTTTGGGCAACAGCTGTTGCAGGTTTCCTTGTGGGTCCAGCCCACCAGCCCACGAGGGACTGCGTGGAACGAGGGTTCTGGCCGAGGTGGGGGTGAGCAGTGCAGAGTCAACACACAGACACCAGGAGTCGGGTGGAAGCAGGCACTAGGCGAGGTGCTGAAGACTCGTTTATTGCTGGGAAGGGCAGGCCTTATATATCTCTCCACCTGCCCCCAGTGTCCCATAAGCTAGTGTGTCACTCCCTGATAGATCCCCTCATTCAGGCTGCTCGTGTCATCAGTCTCTAAGTCCAGGGCAGATTATAGGTTGGCTCTTTTGCAGAAGCGCGGGCTGTGCTTTCAAGGTGGAAGCTGTGCTCCCTAGTGCAGCTGTGCTTAGGTCTGGCACTTCCCCTCCTACACTTGAGAATCAAACTTCAAAAAGAAATGCTTCATGGAGGTTATATGATTACAGGAGACAAAACATAATGGTCTGTATAATATAAGGATTCTGATTCATGCACGTATATCATGGGTATGGAGCTTTGAAGCCAATGAATGGCACATATGTATTTAATGGCACAGTACGGGTTAATGTTGGGATGATGGTACAAATGCTGAAAATACTAAGGTTGTTCAAATAATTTTTATTAATTTTACTTCAGTGATGTTCATAGCATTAAGAATTACAACAAACATCTGGGGCAGAGCTGATCCCAGGCTTCACGCATGCTAGGCAAGTGCTCTACCATGGAGCTGCATCCTCAGCCCATAACTGAGATTTCTATTCTGCTGGCATAGTAGATGTGCATAAAGCTTCTCCCCATAAAGAATGCTTAAGAGCAGATAGATAAAAATATTGTAAATATTTGGTAGATTATGGCTAAGATAGATACAACTTGGGCAAAAAAATCAAAGGCAAGAAAGAAGGCAAGACTGAAGAAGGGTGGTAACTTGATACTGCTGATCTCAGGTTATCTGATAAACCCCAATGACTGCAGCTGGGTTTTTATGAACCACAAGGCTGAGGGAGAGAGGAGATAAGTCATGGGGCTAGAGCAGGTAGGAGGTTGAATAGAGCCTAAAACAAAGACTGGACTCCTAAAAAATGATATCACCAATGGGTCAATTAGGAAATCCTTGCCCTGCAAGAGTTAGAGCAGGTGGGAGGTTGAATAGAGACTAAAACAGAGACTGGACTCTTAAAGAGTGATCTCATTAGTGGATATTTAGGAAATCCTGCCCTGCAGAAGAATTCTGCCTGCCTTAGCAATGACCCAGGATGGAAGAAAAAAAAAAAAAGACAGATTTTCCCGAGATTTCCTAACTACACATTTAGTGGGATTAGACTTACACAAGAATCAAATAAACTTCAAACAAAAACCAGTTGAAGGTTTTCCCTTTTCATAATACCTTTAGATCCCTGTCCAAAGAAATACAAATTCTTCTAGAAGAAATCAATTTAATCTTAGTCTCAAAATATTACACAGGAAAATTCCCAGCATCAATAATATAGAATCAAATGTAACCAGTGAAAAATTACAATAATAAATGTTAAATACAAGTTAAATTATGTACATACAGTTAGATGCAGAGAGAATGAGTGAGCTGAAACACACATTCAAAGAAATTACTTGGAATGAATACTTACAGAGATAAAAACTAGGGGGCCAGAGAGATGGCTCAGCAGTTAAGGACACTGGCTGCTCTTGCAGAGGAGCCAGATTCAGTTCTCGTCATCCAAATGGTGGCTAACAACCATCCATAACTCCAGGAGATCTGATGCCCTCTCCTGCCCTCTGCAGGCACTGCACAACAGGGGTGCACTTACACACATGCAGGCAATAATACACTCATACATATAAAAATAAAAATATTTCTTTAAAACTATATAAAATATAAAGAAATGGTTATGATGTGTGGGGGATGCAAGGAAGAGGCCCACGTTGTATCTACATGAAGAAAAACAATAGAGACTAAACAGAATTTCCAAGGTTTGATGAAGACAAAATCCTCTGATTGAGGAAACCCCATGAATCCTAAGCAAGAGAAATACAAAGACATCTAGACATAGCATCAGGAACTACTAGATGAAGGTGATCTTAAAAGCAGTTATGAAGAAAACAGATTACTTACAATCGACTTGTCAGCTGCAATGTCAGAGTCAGAAAGAAACATGTTTAGCAGGCTGAGAGAACAGCAGTTCACAGCTGACTCTCCTCTCTCTCTCTCTCTCTCTCTCTCTCTCTCTCTCTCTCTCACACACACACACACACACACACACACACACACACACACATGGGGGTGGGGGTTGGAGAAGGAAGGCTCTCAGAGAAAACTCCAGATGCAACACATACTACTAGATAAAGAGAATGGGAAAGCCCTGAGTCAATAAACAAGCACTGTCACAGAAACACTGATAACAGCAATGTGGATGAAAAGTCAGGACAGAACAGAAATCACGGGGAAATGAACATATGTCACGATGGAGCGAATAGAAGTATTTTTAATGTCTTTGTGTTTTCCAAGATGCAACGATATTTATTGGCTTTAGAGTTTAATTTAAATATGCATACTGAAATTTCTTGATTTTTTTTTAAACAGAAGAATAACTGAAATGGGGTACAAAATGGGGAAAGGAAAAAAAAGGAGTCATGCAAAGAGCAGAGTGATGGAAGCACCCGTGTTCACCGGTACACACACCTAGGAGAGGGGAGACACTTTCCAGTTTAAGACACCAGTTGTCAAACTAGATTTAAAAAAACATTTTAATGAAACTTGAAGAACTGATTCCAATATTCACAGGGGTTTGAAAAGAGCTAAAACTACGCAAGACAATCTAAAGAGTAGGGACCAATGGGAAGGCTTGCTGTACTAGATGAATTATGACACAGTTAACATGGGAAAATGGTAGTGACACAGCAATAACAAGGGCAAAGAGGTGGAGGAGGACACAGGACCCAGAACGATACACTCAAGTATGGAAGCCTGACGTGACAAAACCTGAGCACCAGTGACAAGATCGAGCATGGAATAAGTTGTATTAGGTCACTGATTTTCATGCAGAAAAAAAAAATGAAAATAAATCCCTACTTTACTCAGCTGCATATACACTGATGACTGAAAGGTCTTGTTATGTTTATTTTCTGACACTGAAAGGATTTCTTAAAACAGTACAAAGCACAAACTGTGAAGACAGAGAATAGGTTGTCATTAAAACTGAGATCTTGAATTAATAAAGGACACCATGAAAAAAGGGAAAAGCAAGCCACAATCAGGAGAGAACAGTTACAGTGTGTATCATACATATAATCACTGGACTACAGAGGAAATGTTGGTAATCTTGTAGATCAGTAAGAAAATGTGCAAATTCTTAACTATTATTATCGGGGGGGGGGGCACATGCCACAGCGTATCTGTGGAGGTCAGAGGACAACCTTGGGCAGTCAGTTCTCTCCTTCCACTTCTACATGGGTTCCAGATTGAACTCAGGTTGTCAGGCTTAGGCAGCAAGCATGAAACATAGAAATCCAGTAAGTACTGAAGTAATGAGCCTTCTTAGAGATGGGTGGATTATGAATTACACTATGGCGATGTCCAGGCTTGATTCCTACATTCAGGTTGCCCCTAAAATAAACCAGCATTTCTTGGAGAAATGGCTGCTTTCAGGGTGGTCTAAGAAAGGTGCAGGATGATGCTTCAAAGTCTTGATACACCAGAAAACAGGGAAGCACAAAAAGAGAGGGCGCGGAGACAAAAACACCAGAGCCAGTTTCTTAGTATGTGAAAGATAATAGAAATAACCATCTATGTAGTTTTAGCTAAGGATTAAGATGTTAATACGTTTAGTGAGCATTGTGTGAGCATTAATTTCATCTTGTTCACATATATGAAACTTGCTTTGAGAAATGCTGTAGGGGGTTGCAGCTTTCTATTTTATTGGAAGTTATTTTTTGAGTTAATTTTCTTTACACAGGAACTGGTAGCTCGATATGTGTCCTTGATTCCTTTCTTGCCTGATACAGTTTCATTTGCTGGTATCTGTGACCTGTGGAGCACATCTGATGTAAGTTTTTTCTCACAGCTTTACTGATTTAACTGAATATTAGATAAACACATTGTATTATCTTAGATTGCAACACTCATTAGTCATCACCAAAATCTACTTGGCCATCTATTAGTACGATAACTAAATTCTGAAATATTTTTCTTCCTGGTTTAAATTTGCAAAACTTCAGACGTTAAAAAATAAACAAGCAAATAAATAAAGGCTGGGGATGTAATTCAGTGGGAAACATTTAGCTAGCATGTGCATGGTCATGGGTTAGAGCCTTAGCACCCAAAAAAGAGAAAAAAAGTGTTGTTTAAATTTGTTTGCTGGAGAGACGGCTCAGTGGTTAAGAGCACTGGCTGCTCTTGCAAAGGACCTGAGTTCAGCTGCCAGCACATACATAATGGCTGTCTATAACTCCAGTTCCAGGGGATCTGATGCCCTCTTCTGACCTCTATGGGCATTACATGACATGGGTGCACTTACATACATGCAGATAATACATTCATACACATAAAATTTAAAAATTAAAATATATTAAAATTTACTTCACAAAGAATAAAAAATAGTATTTCAGAGGCTGGAGAGATGGCTCAGCAGTTAAGAGCACTGACTGCTCTTGCAGAAGACCTGGGTTTGGTTCGCAGCACCCACATGGTGGCTAGTAACTCCAGTTCCAGGGGATCTGACGCCCTCTTCTGGCCTCTGTAATCGCTGCAAGCATATGGCACTGACATACAGTCAGGACACTTATACACATAAAAAAACAAAATTTAAAAATATTGAATTGTTGATGAACTATTATAGTATTACATTAACAATATTCCAATTTTGTTTATAAAATGTCAAAATTTAATTCTATCATTAGAAATTACGTCCCTCAATTTGTGAGCTTCTAAAGGCATGACATGTCATTATTTATTCAGTGTGTATTTCTCAGTCACATAGCACAGATTAGACACTGGACTAAGTCCTGGATCATAGGTGGCAGGAAGCAAGCCTATATAATCACAGGTATTTACTGTGCTTCTCGATTTCAGGTTGTCTGTTATTTCCATAGAATTTAACATATATAAATTCTATTGACAGATGAAGTTTGGGGATACTTAATTTTTTTGCCACCTAATACATTTGGCAACATATATGTTGGCAGTTTTAGAGATAAAATTTTTCAAAAATTTTTTTCAATTATTTTTATTTTATGTGTATGAGTGTATTGCCTGCATGTATGTGAGTGCACCTGTGTCCTGCAATGCTGTGGAGATCAGAAGAGGGCTTCGGATTCCCCTGGAACTGGAGTTAAGGACAGTTCGTAGCCGCCATGTGGGTGCTGGGAATCGAACCCGGGTCCTCTGCAAGAGCAGTCAGTGCTCTTAACCACTGACCTATCTCTCCAGCCCTAGAGATAAAAAATTTTAAATGTTGAGGTTCTCTCAAGAGGATTCATGAAAGTATCTGAAGAGGAGGGAATACCAGACCAGCTTGTGACTGCTTAGGTGTTACTAAGTGAGCTTTGCCTCCTCCTCTGAGTCTGTAAAACTGGGAAGAAGAATACTTCCCTCAGAAATTGTCTAGGATAAATGAATTCCTGGGAACACACCACATAACTACAAGAAATGTTGACAGCTATATTTTGATATTACTGTTGCCAATTTAGTAGTCTGAAGACTCGGTGACTCTCAGAATTTTATTCCCTACTCCAAAGCAAAAGATTCACAAGTTTGGGGTATGAGGAGTAATTCTGGGTACAGGGTTAAAAGTTCATGTACTTTAGAGAATATTTTGCCTTTAGTGAACTATCATCATACACCATTCAAAATGAATAGAAAAACTTGGAAATTTGCCTTCTGTACCCACCACAATCATATTGATAATTAATTCTAGAAAGTCGTAATATCAGCATCAATGTTAGAGAAAACACAATATCCACTAAAGATCAGTCTGGTATCAAAATCAGGAAAAGATTTGAGGAAAAAACCTCTGCTACTTTAAAAAACAGATCTCAACTATCACATTAAAATCTTGCATGAGCCAGGTAGTCCCAGAACTTGGGAAGCAAACACAGGCCAGCTGGGGCTACAGGGAGACCTTGTCTCAAAAAGACATAAATAAATTAAATAAATAAATAAATAAATAAATAAGAATAAATTCTAGCATTAGAGCATGCTGCAATCCCAGCATTCAGGGGAGAGGGAGAGGCAGGAAGACTGTCAGTTCAAGGCCAGCCTGGGCTACACTGGGAGTTCCAGACCAGTCTGAACAACACAGCAAACCTGATTATAAATCTGTAATAAAATCTTACATGGTCAATCCAGAAGGAGACAGTCAATACAACATATTTTTTTCTTTCTGTCAGCAATTTCTTGATCTCCTGGCAGGAGATGAAGAAGAGCATGCAGTACTGCTGTGCAATTACTTTCTGTCCCTGGACAAGAAAGCATGGCTGGTGATGGGCAGTGCCATCCCTGAGGTAAGGCCGCCTTGTCTGGCATTAACAGAAGAGTGTGGTTCTCTAAGCAGCTGTATATTCCAGGCCATGGGCAGTACTAGTTTTCTAACAGTCCTTTGAGTTGCTAGGGAAGCAGCACAGAGCCACAGCAGGCAGTCGGAGCCACCACTGCCTCCACGTGAAATGGCTTGGCAAGGAGTTCAGCAGCACTTCAGATGGCTTTTTGGCAAACCTGAACATTTTACCACTGATAGTCCCTATTTGGCTCTGCCTTTTTAATATCAGCCCAAGCACTCTCATTCCCTTGGTAATCTCATGCCCTTCCTGTGACAGGGATTCTAGGAGGTGTGGGAAGCCTCTAGCCTCCTAGAAGCAGTGGGTTTTCCACCACTTCTAATCTGGGAGGCACTCGGGGTGTTATCAGATGCACTAGGAAAGAAAAGAATGTGGGCACCTGTATAGTCTGTCCCTTCAACAGTGAGGGATGTTTCACTGGTCCTGTTGCCATTTTATTAGTTTGAAGACTCAGTGACTCTCAGAATTTTATTCCCTAACACAAAGCAAACTATTCACAAGCTTGGGGCACCAGGAGTAATTCTGGGTACAGGGTTAAACCGTTCATGTGGAGAGCAGCAGCTTATTTAAAACTTGCATCATTGGGAATCAGCTAGCAGGAGCTGCTACCTGTACACGGAAAAGACAAGGCAAGGCATTCACCAGGCCTCAGCTCGAGCTTCGTGACCCTCAGCACATCACAGCTCCAAGGCAATCAATGATTTGTGAGCATCTAGCCAAATCATGCACTAGCAATACAATAATACTCAGTGTAACAAAAGAATCTAGTAATATATGAATATTCTGAGTAAGATGTAAACACCTTTTATTGACAGTTTGGTGTGTGTCCTTTCGAATCTTCTATGCACTGTGTAACCACAGAATGTGTACTAAAAGGTAAGTTACTTTATTAGGAATAGAAATATTACTCAGACACAATCTTCTAGATACGTACATGGTAGTTTTACTAAGTAGAAAGAGAAAACGGGAGTGGTTTCCACTAGGAAGAGCTCTTCAGACAATCTGAATTCATGTTCACTGGGTTAGATGACACCATCCTTTGGTTACTGCATTGAACTAGTAATATATCCAAAAATTCTAAAAATGTTTCATTTCAGTTTTTAAATTCAATAACCAGGACATTTAGAAATCAGAGGTCCAACTAAAATGAAGAATTGTTTCTGGGGCTGGAGAGATGGATCAGAGGCTAAGAGTGTTTGCTACTCTTCCAGAGCACCTATCTGGTTCTCAGCATACATGTCAGGCAGCTCACAACGGCCTCTAACTCCAGCTCCAGGGAATCCAACAACCTTTTCTGAACTCCGTGGGCATCTGCATGCACATGAACACACAAAGATAAATTTAAAAAAAATTTATCTTTAAAAAATAGTTTCTGCAAACTACCATTGTTCTTAATTTTATAATTAATTCGGAATTATTTTAATGGTTATTTCCTTTCAGGGTCCAACTGCCTATGTGCTAACTTGGGAGAAAAATCATTATTTAATATGGAATCCTTGCAGTGGACATTGTTATGGACAATTTGATACATTCTGTCCCTTGAAAAGTGTGAGCTGTTTAATTGGTCCTGATAATGTGAGTACTACCATTTCCTCTTAAATATGGCTAGTTGAGTGTTGCTTTTTTAAGTTGACCAACTTATTTACATATTTTATGTAGCTAAAGGTTATATAAATAATTTATATAAATAGAAATAAACAACAATTAGCCACCTAACAGTTCCAAATTAAACTTCTGGTTGAATGAGGCACCTGACCTTCAGAGAAGCAGAACAAAATTAAAAATAAAGGATTTAGACTCAGAAAACTTGAATTTCTATCCTGGCTCTGTTGTGTTTGCTCTTCCAAAGTGGAGCTTAGAATGCCTACTGCAGAAGCAAATCTGTCACCCACGAAGCCTGGGCTTCCTCCCTTAAAAGGGTTTTTGTTAATTTTGTGTACGTGTGGGCATGTGTGTGTACGTGTAAGAGCACATGTGCCACAGCTACCGTGTGGAGGTCAGAGCACAACTTGCTAGAAAATTGGTTCTCTCCTTCCACCATAGGGTCTCAGGGATTAAACTGAGATCATCAGGCTTGGTGGCAGCACCGTACCCACTAAGCCTTCTTACTGACATGCTTCCTTTCTTTTTTAAAGGAAGATTCCCAGGTGCCACATGACCTGCAAAACCCTTCCATGAATTTGGTTGCACCCAGTTTGGGGGATTGTTTGATTCTACTGGAAGGCTACTGTATACAGCAATGATTAAGAACATGATTGAAGAAGGCCTCAGAATACCTGACTTTAAGTTCTATATTCATCACTTACTAGTTTTGTAAACTTCATAGTTTCTTGCTCTTTCACACACTCAATTTATACATTGGTAAAACTGGAGGTAATAGCAATGTCATCACTGTATAGCCATTACTTTGAGTGTCTGTGAGAAGAAAATGACTCTCATGAAGTCAAACATGTTAAGAACTACTCTTTGATTACTGGCTGATTGTTTTTATAAGCATCACCTACCCTACCTTACTGGTCTCTGAACTTTGAGTATCACTAAAAAGTACAAATGAATTTTCAATGTGTATTTTCTTTATACATTATGTATCTGCATGTACATCAATATTTATATTATAAAAATACTTAACAGGGCATGGTGGCACAAGCCTTTAATCCCAGCATTTGGGAGGCAGAGGCAGGTGGATCTCTGTGAGTTCAAGGCAAGCCTGGTCTACATAGTGAGTTCCAGGCCAGCTGGGGCTACAGGGAGAACCTGTCTCAAAAAAAAAAAAAAAAAAAAACCTTAATAAATAAAAGGGCTGGGAAAATGATTCAGTGGATAAAGTGTTTCCCAAGCAAGTGTGAGGACCTAAGTTCAGATCACCAGCCAGGTGAGCATGGTAGCTGGCCTGTAATTCTAGCATTCTGGAGGCAGAGACAGGGGAATCCCTGGACAATGTAGACTAGTCGAATCAAATCAATGAACTGTGGGGTTCAGAAAGAGACTGCCTCAATAAATAAAGTTGAATGATCAAATAAAGACACAGGACATCAACCTCTGGCCTCCACATGCATGTGTGTACATGTGCTTACACATCTACACACATCTGTGCCCACACATGCGCGCACACACACACAATTTTCTTTCTTTAAAAGAAAAATATTGAAAAAAACTACAAAATATTGAGGCTGAAAAGATCGCTCAGTGGTTAAGAGCACTGACTGCTCTTGCAGAGGACCTGGGTTCGATTCCCAGCACCCACATGGCGGCTATGAATCGTCCTTAACTCCAGTTCCAGGGGAATCCAAAGCCCTCTTCTGACCTCCATGGCATTGTATGACACGGGTACACTCACATACATGCAGGCAATACACTCATACACATAAAATAAAAAAATTAAAAATTACAAAATATATTTTCCTCAAAGCCCTGCACTGTGTACTAATTCTAGGAATTATGATAGATTACAAAGATAACAGTAAGGAATGTGGTAAATGTTCTAAGGCAATCATTTAATAGCCTAGGAAAGCCACAGATGGCTAGGCAATTAGAAACAAAGCTAAATAATACCAACTATTGAGAACTTACTATATTCTACCCATTACTCTAAGAGATTAACTCACTGAAACTTTTCAGTCCTATGAGGGAGTTTCTCCTTTCATGTCATTTTTAAATTTTTATTTTTTCCTATTTCTTAATGGAATGTTTGAGCATTTCACTCAAAGCATCTTAATCATCTTTATACTCCCTGCCGTATCTGTACCCTTCCATGTCATTTTTACTGAGGAAAATGAAGCACACCGAAGTGAAATAAATCATACAGAACCACACAGTCAAAATGTTAGAGCCAATATTCAATCACAAGTGGTCTTATTCCAGAACAATCTGCCTCAAAGCCTCAACAAGACTGTGTGCCCTCCGAGACACTGCAGAGTGCAGAGGCAAACAAAAGATGGACTCCATTAAAAGGATGCTTGGAAGGGCAGGGTAATAAAAAGCCGGCGCAAGGGAGGAAGAAGGCTAGAGAGATGCCTCAGTGGGTAAAGCTCCTGCCACCAAGCCTAATGACCTGTGTTCAATCCCTGAGACCCGCACAGTGAAAACACAGCTGACTCCTGCTTTCTCTGACCTGGACTTACATACCATGGCGTATACATATGTGCATACACACATGAAAATAAATAAATGTAAAAAAATGTATGAAAAGGGAAGGGGGGCTTGATTATCTTTTCTTAAAAATGAGTTATATTTGAGGAGGAAGCATAAAAATTTACGTCATGTTAAGTAGTAGAGGTGATAAACATTACCATTGAAATCTATCCAATACATACAGATTACAGATACATGTGCCAACATCTAAGTGTTAGTAGCAAAACAATGAGTGTTTCTGTAAGAAACAGTATATTTTAAAATGAAATGGAGATCTGTTTTTTTTTTTTAAATAACATTTATTTTTATTTTATTTTACTTTTTTGTCTTTTTGAGACAGGGTCTCCCTGTAGTCCCAGCTGGCCTGGAACTCACTATGTATACCAGGCTGGCCTTGAACTCACAAAGATCCACCTGCCTCTGCCTCCCAATGGCTGGGATTAAAGGCGTGTGCCACCACGCCCGGCGGAGATCTGTTTTAAAGGTTAAAAACTCATTCAATTTTATGTCTTACAGGGCTTATACTGAGCTCAATATTGTATAACTGTATTAATTCAACTGTGAATCTAAAAATTTTATAGCCACTTTTGAAAAAGATGTATCTTTGCTCTGGAAATTGTTACTAAGTATGTTAAAGCTGTGATGAAATACTTCTTCTAAAAAATTTAAAAAATATTTTTTTTTAAAAATTAGAATCACCTTATTTCACCAAATATATTATCAACCAAAGTGCACCCCAACTCCATATTTTTTTTTATGTGAGAAATGGCCAATTACAACTGTATACCACTGATTATAAATTCAAAAAACTTGAGCTGGGCGTGGTGGCACATGCCTTTAGTCCCAGCCCTCAGGAGGCAGAGACAGGCAGACCTCTGTGAGTTCAAGGTCAGCCTGGTCTACAAAGTGAGTTCCAGGCAAGCTGGGGATACTGGGAGACCCTGTCTCAAAAAGAAAAAGTTCAAAAACCTTAAGTTTTTGAAGACAAAAAAAAGTATGTAACCTGTGTACTTATCTGCTAATATATTTGCTAATATATATTTTTTTAGATTTGGTTTAATATTCAACACTATGATTCGCCACTAAGGATAAATTTTGATGTCACGAAGCCCAAGCTATGGAAATCTTTCTTTTCAAGAAGCCTTCCATATCCAGGCCTTTCCAGTGTTCAGGTAATAATTCTTTAATTAATGGTCAAATGTAGATAAATTAATGGCTGTGAAATCTTCATATAAACTAACTAGGTATTTCTTGGCCCCCAATTTTACTCCTGGATATTTAGTTTAGTAATCTGTCCTCACAACATATTTTAGACAAGTTTTGAAACTTATTTGAGCCATATTTACATTAAGAAAATGACATCCACATATGTTAAGAACTGGTATAAAATTTCGTGTTTGAAAATTTTGATGTAGAAAGTCCATGACATAAAAAGTATCATAAAATGTATTAATTTTTTTAAATGCTGCTGTCAATTCACAAAATTGATTTCTTATCTGTTAAAGAAACTTGAAATCAAGTTGCAGGTCCAATCTACTGGGGGCTCATAAGAGTAACTTAAGTGAGCCTGGATCAGTAGATTCTAAGTTGTAAGCATGAAAATTATTTATTAAAACTTTTGTGTAACAGCTAGGTGCATGTGTGCTACTGGGTTGAAAATACAGAACGTTTCTATTGTGGCACAAACCTTTCAAGGCGGCTTTGAAAAATCTTGCCTTGAGAAATTCTCCTCTGCAAAACAGCGATTCATACAAAATTCTTCAAGGAACATGTCTGGAGGCAGTTTAACTCAAACATCAGCCAGGTGTGGTGGTGCTTGTCTTTAATCCCAGCACTGGGAAGGCAGAGGAAGAGACAGGCAGATCTCTGTGAGATCAAGGCCAGCTTGGCTATGTAGCGAGTTCCAGGTCAGCTGGGGCTACAGGGAGACTCTGTCTCAAAAAGATAAAAAACCAAAACAAACAAAAACAACACTAAGAGACAAATCACACTACATGGCGGAATGTCTTGTTATAGTCAATGACTCAACATTACTGAATCTCAGCACTCTGAAATATTTGCTATCCCTAATACAACGTTAAGGGAGAAAACAAGTTGCATATTCATAAACTAAAACTAAAGTTTGGAAAACATACAAAATAATGCAAAATGTTTGACCAGGAGTACATCGTATCTACAGTAAAGTCATAAACACTTATATTAAGTTGCTCATGTTCACTGACTCCAATGTAAACACCAATATGGGAATGTTTATGGCCAAGTACCTATCCTCGTCACTTGGGAAGGTGTTTGGCAACAGTAAGTTCTCAATTCTGGTTAAAGAGCCATTTAGAAAATATTCGGGTCATGGTTACTTCTGGGGTGAGAAATAAGGGAAATGAGATTGACGGCACGGCAGTGACATTTATGTGAGAGGCTTTACTTACATTGGTTTTGGCTCCCTCAGCATCCCTTATACTGTGTTTTTCTTATTCAAAGTCTGAAATTTCATTTTTTTAAAATTTTATTTATTAATTTTTTCTTATGTGTATGAGTATATTACTTACATGTAGGTAGGTACTCCTGTGTCATGCAGTGTCTGTGGAGGTCAGAAGAGGCCATCAGGTCTCCTGGAACTGA